CTGTGCTTTTCTAATAAATTTATCAATTTGTAGATTTTCACTTGATCAGTTAGAAACTTTGCTAATTAATACTCTATGAAAACAATTGTTACATACAAGAATTATAGGATTGGTTTGAATAATAAGTGTTGTTTGGTTATTAAATATAAGTTAATTACTTTTTCTGGTTTTTGCTGATTATTTGTAAAATACTAATTTATAGTATGAAGGAATATTCTTATTAAATTTTCTTTTGCAACTTTTTCATTATAGAGGTTACATAACTCTTCGATAGTGCTATTTAGAAAATCTTATATAATCAAAAATAATAAAATCTCAGACATTGAATTTAAAGTAAAAGAACTCTATTCATTAATAAATTGTGCTAAAATTATTATTGAAAAGAATATTCAGATGCCAAATACAGAAGAATAGATTAAGTCAATCTACTAATTTAAATTTTGAGTCAAGCAAATACAAAAAATAGTAGATAATTGTGAATGATTTAATAAGAAACAAAAAGTTTTAAATTCATAGAAAGGTTGAAATCACAATACATTTTGTATTTAAGTTTATATAGTTTGATATTTTGTAATGTATATTTGGATACAAGATAATTAATTAAATTAATTAAGAACTATTTTTGCATATATAAATTTGATTTAAAACTTAAATTTTGAATTAGTAAAGTTCTTTTTTAAGATTAGGGTTAGATAAAGAGCCTAAGAGTCATGTTTTCTAGAGTGTTTAGTAAAAAAAATATCCTTTGCTTCACAAAGGATAACAGTACGCTTTTTTGTATTTGATCAAATCCCGTGATTAGCATATCACGTGACTTGCAAAATTTTTTTGTCTGGTGATTTGGGAATAACTACTGACATAGCAACACATGATTTATCTCCTTATCGACATAGCGATGATTGCCATAAACACCCCAAATTTTTGACCAATAATATTTTAAGAGATATTTGGTGAATATATTATATGTATTAGATATATATCGGATATTTAAATAAATATCTGAATTTTTATTTTTGGCTAGATCAGAACTTTATTGTTACAGTACTTATATAATAAAGGGCAACTTTGCCTTTGTACCCCTTTGAATACTTAAATAGAAATGTGCAGTTTTAAGAATCAAAATATCTGTGACTTTGAGGAAATACAAATTGAATTTGAGGAGAACAATGAGACCATTAATGATGAGGTTGAATTTAATAATAAAAATAAGATTATGTTTGATAGTGAAAGCAAAATTGAAACTAAGAAGGAAGTTAAAGTTGGATTTAATGAAAAAGAGACTGCGGAAATGTGTAAGTTGAATACAATAAATTAAATGAAAATAATACATTAAAAAATGTATTTTTTTGATTTTTTTAAAAAAATATGTATTATTGTAAATTGGCATTATTATACTAATATATATATATATTTTTTTCTTTTTTTTTAGTTAATAAAATGTTTGAACAAGATTATACCACAACAAAAAACATTCTTAATACTGCACAGGGAATTGCCTAGCATCTTGAATTTGCAATAACGGTTAAAAGTAATGGTTCTCATCATTTTCATTTTTAATATAAGTATAGTGGCCAACCTCGTAATATTTTAAATTTGATAGTAGATATGCATAAAAAGAAGAGAATGAGTAAATGTTGCGAATACCCATTTCTTTTAAAAGCGGTTCTAAAAAATTTTAGATGGTATATTATTGAAATATCAAACGAATACAATCATTTTATGGTTAAAGATAGAAGAACTTTTTATAAATATTGTCAATTAATGAGAAAAGCAAGAAGTACAACCATGCGAATATTAAAAGCAGGGCAAAACCCAGTATGGTCTATAAAGCTGTTAGGGATAAAGATGGAAATCTGACTGCGACTAGAAAGAACATAGCTAATTTAAGCTTACGAATTAACTCTTTCGAAGAAATTGCTTCAATGGAGATATTGATAATTGGTATAGAAGAAAGAGGATATACAGTGCGTTGTGAAAATCATAAAGGAAAGTATTTTATAAATTAACAAATAGTTTTGCTAAAAATTATTTATATCATGAATTTTATATTAAATCATAAGAAAATTTAATACAACAGTATTACATTAAGTGAAAAATATTCGAATTAATTTTGAATTAGCGAATTTTTTATTTTTTATTTTTTTTGTAATTTGATTGTTTTTCTAACACTTAATCCATTTTATATTATTGATCTTTAATTTAATGTAGATAGTCATCTAAAATATTTATTTTTTTGTCACACTAATTTGGTTAAGAATGCAAGACATTTTCCAGAAATGGTTCTAATTAATGCTACTTATAAGACAAATGTTTATAAGTTGCTATTTGTAAACTTTGTTGATATCAGTAATCTTGAAGTTAGTAAGTTACAAACCTTCGATATTGCTAGAGCTTGGATTTCAGACGAATCAGAAAAGTCATATATTTGGATTGTTAAACAGCTTGCCTCCCTTGTATTTTTTGATGTTATTCCTTTCATATTTGTAATTGACAATGAAGCTGCACTTATTGGTGCTCTTAGAAGAATTTTTCCTAAAGTTGAAAATCTTTTGTGCACTTGGCACGTCTTGAATAATTTTAAAAAACATTTGAAAAAATATTTCAACGATGATTTACTATATGAAATTATTAAGACTATGGATTCTTTTATCAACTCAAGGGACTATGAGACATTAAATTCTGCGATTACTGATTACAAGAAACTAGCAGCATTAAGTTTAAACGCGGATAAAGTAATCAAATATCTTGACAGGTAAAATTTTTTTTAAATTAAATGCCAAATTAAATACTTTGGTCCTCATAACATAAAATTTTAAAAACTGACCAGAAACCTAGCTTTTAATTTTATTCTCAAAAAAAAAAATATGTATAAAAAACATTTTTTTGTGATCTTAACTCAATCAGTTGTGCGAACTGATTTATTAAGTTTGTAGGACTTTAAATATAAAAATTAAATTTTAATTTTATGTACTATTTATTTTAAAAATTAAAAGACGATAAAGTTTAAGGAAAGATAGGTTGGTGTATATATGAGCAAGATTATACACTTTGGTGCAACAACAACACAACATGT